TTTTTCTGTTGCCCTTTTGCAATTCATGATTAATAAAAATAATAAAATGTTACTTACTAATTAAAATCAGAAGAAATTTAACAAAATTATAAACCCTACGGTTTATAATTTTGCACCGCGAACGTCTAGTCTAGTGTAGTACACCGATAGTTCTACTTGTTCATAGATGGCGCGTATAATTGAATTAAGTCCTATACCGAATGAAAGTCGTATACCGAACAAAATTTGTTTCGTCCAAACAGGACGTATTCCGAATTGGACGTATTCTAAAGCAGACGTATACCGAGGTTCCACTGTACCTGCAATGAAGTTTCTAAGAAAAGCAATTACAAGCTTGCTGCAGCAATAGTGTTTGTGTATTGATAAATAACTGTTGGTTGGCTTTACTTTTTGTGTAGTCAGTATACTGCATTGAACAAAATGGTTATTTGGCCAATCCTTGTCATTCTCTGTTATGTGGCCCGCTGTGAAAAAAGTTTGGTGACCCTGATCTAGAGCTTCTCTTGGCTCCATATGTTTTAGGAATTTTCAAATAATTGCAGATTACATTCTTGAAATGATCAGGTTTATTAGAAACTTCTGTAACACTTAAATATTGATTATTATATGCATTAAGTTGCCTTTTTCATATTCACTAAAGCTACATTTATGTTCCATGTTATCTGAATATAATAACTACAGATAAGAATGGCCTCTTTGTTAGGTGGAGAAGGAATCACTTAGATTATCTTTGTGGGACAAGACTACTTTACATTGCTTTACATACTGCATATGTAAATGGATAATTCTGTTGTTTATTGTCACACTAGCATGAAAGCTTATTGTTACTAAAACAAGAAATATTTTTTGTATTTACAGTGGTGCCTCATATAACATACATAATCCATTCCAGGTGCATGTTTGTTAAGTGAAAAGTCCGTTATACGAAATGCATTTTACCATAGAAATACATGTTAAAACATAATTCATTCTGCAGCATAAAATAACCATACTGTTCCATTAAAAAAATGAAAATGGAGCAGTCACCAATTATGCCAGGTAGTGAGATGATGTGAGGAGGATGTGGAGGAACACTTTCTTCACACATTCATACAGATACAGACTTTTTACACATTGCAGCAGGTCTCTTTTTATTGTTTTTTAATCAGAGTTAGATTCAGGCGAGGCTACCAGGAGCTTGCAGTGTCAACTCCTCTTGTTCCATCCTTTGTTTTTTGGCAGCTTGCTTCTTGAAAAACATGTCCAAAGTGGTCAACTCCTCTTGTTCCATCCTTTGTTTTNAGGTCTCTTTTTATTGTTTTTTAATCAGAGTTAGATTCAGGCGAGGCTACCAGGAGCTTGCAGTGTCAACTCCTCTTGTTCCATCCTTTGTTTTTTGGCAGCTTGCTTCTTGAAAAACATGTCCAAAGTGGTCAACTCCTCTTGTTCCATCCTTTGTTTTTTGGCAGCTTGCTTCTTGAAAAACATATCCAAAGTGGTCTGTTTCTCTCTGTTCTTCAACACCTGTTGGAAATGACACCTTTGCTCATTTGCTCATACTCAGCTCTGGTTAATGAGTGTTGGTAAACTTCTGAACCTCTCCCTATTTGATAAGGAAGTTTTTGTCAACTTTCACTCCTTATGATGATGTCTTGCTTTGTTTCAATTGCACAACACTTTGTTTTTTTAGAAGCCATGATTTGCACAACACTTGAATAAATGTAAATACCCTGCACTGAGGTGATGTATGTAATAAACAAGGGAGCAAACCGAATCCCAAGGGGAGTGATATACTAATATATTATAATAATAATAAATTATAAAAATAGCAGATTGTCATTGGCAACGGCAAAAGAGTGGAAACATCATTCGCACTTGTTCGCAGAAAGATTGTTGTTCACCTCATGTAACTGCTGAACGGAAAGTTTGTTGCTCGAGTCAAGCAACAAAGTCCGTTATTCGAGACGTACATTATATGAGGCACCACTGTATCTGCAAACATCTTTGCAGTAGATTTCCAAAGAGTGTAGATATGTCAGAAAAAACATATTGGGTTCAGGATTTCATAATAAAAGCAAAAATTATTTGAAATATATTTGTATGGCAATAATTTTACAAAATATCAATATAACCAGTTTTCTGTTGAATGCATGTTTGTCCTTTTTATGTTTAAATGAAACTAAACAGTTGTCAGTGAAATTAATTTTCACTGACAACTGTTTAGTTTCATCACATTTGTTTTGATTTAATGTTTTATTTTAACTTAAATGCTTATTAGAGTAAGCATCAGTATAAGAATAAAATATAATAGCAGTAATGGAATATGACTAAATTATAATAATTTTCATAAATTTAATTTTTTTTAATAGGTAGTTGGTAACACAGATATCCATAAGAAGATGGTGGTGGATGTGTAACTCCCTTTTAATCCAACAAAAAAATCTCAAGACATTTCCATGTACAGTTTGCCTTTCCCTTTTACTTCTAAGTCTTCAAGTTACAGTTTTTTAAACATTAGCAATTTAAATGTGAAAAGTTTGCTGATGTTAAAAAGTTTCCCTCCTTCACCATTATACATATGCAAAATACATTTCATTCTTTTGTATATTTTCTAAATTAGCCATTGAATCCATGTAAAAAATCACCTGAAATATGATAAAACATATCTCGTCACCATTTTCCTTCTTGCATAATTTACACTCCCCTGTATATTTATTGTGACAATATAAAGTTTTCTTGAATGTTTTAGTTTTTTGCTTAAGTTGAAATTGTCAATGAAATTGATGCAATGCAGTTTCAATTATGAGCAAGTATGGGATAGTTGAGAATATTTTTAATTATTGAAGTGTTATGGTAATTATTACCATTGTTACTTACTCTTCTTGAATGACTTATCATTAGAAGTTAGTAATTACCATAATTTTTGAAGTAAATAAAACTTTGTAGATGAAATGTTTTACCATATTGAAGATGATCTCTTATATTGAATTTGGAATTTTTGATATTTAAGTAAATCAAGTGCCTACTAGTTTTAAAAAAAATGATTGTCATCATTTTCCTAAATTCATTATTAATGATTTAAATGTTTTCTTAAACATTTGCTTTAAAATAGGTAATTTCATAATACATAATAATTATTTAATCAAGATATTTTTAAGAATCATTTAAAAAACTGTAAGATATATTTAAAACATTTATTGTAATTATATATACATATATTCATATATATAAAAGTATCTTCCGCATGAAAATTTATATGTATAAAATGTTTCAGATTGATTTAAAAAAACAATAGGAAGATAACTAAAATTTTGCATTTAAAATATAAAAAAAGAATTTGAATATTAAAATCCTGTTTCTAATTCATTTTTTAATTTTAAATCTTTAAACTAGTAATTATAAAATTTGATTTTATTATTTCTTTGCATGTCCACAAAAATATAATTTATGAAAAAGTATAAATCTGTCCCTTCAAATGTTAACATAAAAATTCTTTTGAGAATTTAGTAATGTAAATTATTAATGTTTGTTGCTTATTTTAATAGTTAACAATATACAGTATATATATAGTCCTATTCAAGTGTAATATTTTTTTTTCTCTCATATCACTATAAATTTGAGTGACATGAAAGTATGATGCTTGTGATCATGTAAGTTCTTGAAATTATTAAAATAGTTGTATTTAATTTGATTTGTTAAGAATTTTCAAATAGCTGTTACCCATATATATCGGGTTGTTATAATGACAGCTATTTAATTTGTTATTTGTAGTTATTGTATAATGCATTCACACCAGCATGACTTTGTATATTCCATACATTCACCATAATGCTTGTATTATATTTGCAAGTGATATGTGATGTGGATATTTAACTGTTTTAAAATTATGTAAACTGGATGTTAAGTGCTAGTCTTACATTGAATGGTTTCATATATTTGTTTTGACTTGCTTATATTTGAGATTATCTTACTGATGTTTGCTCATACTTGTACATTATTCCCGATACATGCTTTGTTTTGATTCCTATTTATACGTGTTTAAATGTTTCTTGCATGTAGTTTAACTACTATAACTATAAAAATATTATGCAGTTACCAATTATGTATTATTCTGACATGATTGAAAATGGAATTTTAATTCTTGTAAGAATTTTCTGATAAATATCATAACTGTTTAAAACTTGTAAAAATTTATGCTATCCATTTTCAATCCTGTTAAACAGCCATTTCAATGTTACTACAAATGAAAAAAAAATTTAAAATATATATAAATATATATATATTATATTAACTGCAATAAAAAAAATGTGCGAAATTTATTTTGAGATTAATTTCTTATTTCACAGAACAAAAATTGAACATTTTAATGACTTGACATACATAGATTTTTGCACAGCATTTTATAATATATATTTGGGTTAATTGAAAAGTAATTTCATAAAATGTAATATTTTTTTCTTTTAACTTATGTTTGTTTGTGTTATATTCTTGTGTCAATGAATTATTTATTTATTAATATTTTCTAAACCTAAATTTGCTTGTTGTAAGAATGCTTTTTATGACCTTTTTTTTTAATATTGTAATTTGCTTTTTTACGGTGAATTTTTTTTTTCCTTCTGTCCATTAGTTTCAAACTTTAACAAAATATTTAATTGTAAATACTTAGTAGTTTTGTTGTTTGATATTTAGTGTGATAAGCTTTTTTTGTTAATAGAATTTTAAAATAACAATAAAACATGTATTTTTGTGAATATGAGGAGGCAGAGAGATCTTTAGAAGCTCTTGTGATTAATGGGAATATTTTAATACAAAAAAAGAATGTTGGTTCTCCAGACGATCATTAATCATAACGTGGATTTTAAACTTGGTAACGTTAACTAAATATTTACATCTTGTTATATCAATAGAAATCTGAATACCACAATTTGAATAGTATTCAGAATTACTGTATTGATTTAATGATGTTTAAGATTCAAACCATTAATATAACTATTAATAAATATGGCATATTGTTAGATACTTCTATTTACTGAATTTTACTAACACTCAAATTTCACCAAAATGTGTTCATTCAGATGGAAGTTTGAGCATATGATTGATAGAAAAATTGATATGCATCTAGTAGAACTGCTTCAATATAATAATTAAAAAACATTTATAAAATACTAATTTTTTTCAAATATTGCCTAATATATATTTTTGAATGTCATTTCATATTATATTTTTTGCTAAAAAAAAATTATTATTGTAAAAATTAGTTTAGCAATAAAAGAGGAAATCAATCATTATGCTGGAATGTTGTTTCATAACCGATGAGGATTTTTAATTTAAAAACTTATTTAAGTTTTTAAATATACTTAAATTGGATTTCATAGTTACATACTATTTTAATATATATACATATATATTTTTTATTTACTGGTAAAGATTTTTATATAAACACTCCATAGTTTTGCACAAATCAAAATTGTAAATATCAAACTTTAAATGTTAATGGATCCTGTTCTCCTTAATTGACTTTCTTTTAAAATTGGAATAATTTATTATAATTTGCTGGAGTAACAAAAGTAAATTTAATAACATTAAACTTTTTCACACTATATGTAAAAAAAAAAAACAATAAATTCATCTTTACTGTTGTACTGCAAATTATTTATCATGAATTTTTGATACTGTATTCATTTTTCTTTTAGATTCAACAAAAACACTAAGTAATTTTTCTGAATTTATTTTTCTTTTCTAGACAGTTTTCTTGAAACACTTAGTTTTATTTGCTTCTCATAAAGGCAAAATATATTTTGATATGTAATGTTCCTTTGTCATATTTTAAATTTTGAGACTGGAATTATTAAGCACATTAACATGAAAATTAACTGGTTTTTCTTTAGTAAGAAATTAAATAATAATTCTTTGTTGAAATCGGGTGTAAGGGATAACTTTTGTCAAATCATTATCCAATGATTGGATAAGATGGAGCGTGCAGGAAGACTAGAAGTGACTCACTCTTTGGCCTATACATAGGAAGAAAACTAGGCTGGGAGGTATTTCATTTTTTGTTGCTTAAATATATATTAATTTTAAACAACCAAAACAATATTAGAGATCTTAAATTAGCAAAATTTGTGCACGAGTTTAGACAAACCATGTTTTGGATCCTGAATTTGGACAATACAATGTCTGAAAAGCTATATTATAAAAAAAAATAGCAAGTATTAACATAACACACAAATAGTTTAATAGTAATTGTTGAAGCTCAGATTCTTAAGTTTTATGAATTAAACAAGCACTTGTTAGAGTTGAAAATTCAAACGTAAAACGTAATCAAATTTAACTTCAAAACTAATTAATGGAAGTTTTATCTCAAATAAATAAAGCCCTTCGTTTCTATGTTTATATTTTTTACAGTTTGAAAAATCGACTATTCATAATGGTCGGAATGATACGCTTTAATGGGGTGTCAGAATTAAATTTATTGATATTTTTGTATATTGGAAAAAGGGATCCAAAGTTGTTAACCTTTTGGATTTATTTTTCCAATTTGGGCTGAGTGTTATGGACTCCTCGGAATAATGTTTAAAAAAAACCAGTTAGATACGTTTATTAGAAGAAAAAATCGTGATATATACATATGCGCTTCTTCCTTAATTTCATATTTATCACTATTAATCAAGTTTCATATACTTTAAAGTTGATTACAGTATTATCCTTCCGAGCTTACAGACCGTTCTAAAAAGGACTTACCACACCAGTCCGCTTGTTTCTAATTCTAATGAGATTAGTCCTTTAAAAAATTTAGTTTTAAATATGTTTTCCAGAATGTATTTTTAAAGGTTTCTAATTTTTAATATCTACCATGTCTAGCGATTATTATTATCTCCCTACTGGAGAAAAAAAAAATGATGTCTCGAAATTAAACCAGAATCCTACTATTTCTCCTTCCGATTCCTTTCAGATATTTTACGACTCCAGATTTTCCAGAAACAGATAATTTATTACCAAAAATTGTGTGTAGTGATATATAACTACTGCGAGAAGTCGCGCTCTTGCGTGAATTATTGAGCTGCGATAAGTTTTTTCTCCTCATTGTTTCCCCTTTTCCATTCAGTTTTTACGTCACTTCGAGAGGTGACCTCTTGACTTTTCTAATGAGAAAAGAAAAACAACCCACACACTTCCTACGTACGATGTTACGAACGAAAACGCTGTCCATATTAGGAACAATCATTACTAAGGTGCAAAACTAACTCTGACCTTAGTAACCTCCAGCCATTAATGCCGTTAGTTTGACAACTGTTATCAAATTTATGAGTTAGAAACGGTGACAATACCGGATAGAAGAAGTAATAAATCTACAGAAAGGTTTCGAGCTTTGACAAGTAACATACACACTTCCTGACGCTAATCAACCTTAGATGAGGTTGCACCAGATTTTGTATTAGTCGGCCCCTCCGGGACTTGTATAAAAAGGGTTTGAACACAGTCCTTCGGGCGGACGTCCACAGCTTAGCATTAGGGGACATCTACAGCGGCCCTTACCCGGGACACCAGACCCATACCGCCACTCTGTCCGTCGCCATCTCGCCATACCTGCCGTCTCTATCCCAAGATAACCAGATGACCACCTCCCAGGTCCACGATAGTCCCGACGACATCGTATACCAGACTTAGAGGTATTTTAAAGAAATTTTGACTCTCTCTCCCTCTTATAGAGTTTCTCTCGTCTCTCAGTTTAACTTCAAGAATAGAACTTAGACGTTCCATTGGAAAGACGAATCATTGTCGCGAGCTAGAATAGAATTTCTGATTATTTCGATTTGTTCCGTTTTTGCTTTTGCCTTTGATATGTATAATTTTATAGTTGTTTATAAAATGCGTTATTTTTGTTCAACCTGTGTACTTATTCGGAACCTGTCGACGTACTCATTGACCTCCCCACTCACATTTTTATCCCTCCTAAAGCAATCCTCTGACAGCCGCCGGTAAGCGGGGTCAAGTTAACCACTCTGTCCCCTCGGTTCTCACACTACTTAATTGTTTAAATTCCAAGAGTTACAATGCGGAGTCGTTTAAAAGTATTTTAAAACTTTGATGCTTAGTTATTTCGTCAGCGAAAAAATTCGGGATATTTTGACTTATTCATCGGGTGAAGTAGATATATTTTATGGAGAAGTAGAGCCGGGCCAACTGTCAATCAAAAATGGGATTTAAAGAGATTTCAGTGTTGGTATAAATCCCGTAAAAAGGGAGGTAGAATTCTGGCTGGACATTGTTTATACATGGCTGGGTAAGTCAGGTTTTTTGATATAAATGGAACATACATTTCACGTGTACAATGCTTTCTTATGAAAGCATAAATAATTTTTTAAATACCGTTACTGTATTACAAAACTGGAGATAATCCACCACACCACAACGCTACTGAGCTGACATTTTGCCGGTAATATTTTTGTGTATTAGCGGAGTAGGTACTCCGCCATTTCCGTCTGTATTGTAGTGTCACTCGGCGTATATTCCATAAAAGGCTCTCCGCGCCACCGGTTACGGTATCGGCTCTCTCCTTGTCCCGTGAGACCGAGGTTTATTTAGAGGAAAAATCTATAAAATGAGATTTGCAGAGCGTTACGCATCTACAAAACTACTACAGTATTACCTATTACGCTATCTTATATTCTTTATAAATTTAAATACGAAGTGATTCAAATGAATCGCAAGTGGTGTAGTATACATTAAATCTAAAGAAGCTAATGACATTTTTCTGATTGATTACATATTTTAAAATATATAAATTGTGATTATATGCTAACTTAGGCATTTAATTATGTAAATATAAAATCTCTAATTTTTTTTAAATCAGAGATTTTATTATTTTTTAGATTAGGGCCTTTTTTCAGGTCTACAAAGGGGTCGTGTGATGATAATCAAGGCAGCTTGAAAAATTCCTGGTGTTACTCGATTTGGGATCTCCTAGCTGATTAAATACGACCTTTGACATTTCTTTTTTTAAAAAATTTTGTAGATATTTTTCTAATATTCTAATAAACCACTACTATCAAAAATGTGGAGATAAACTGAAACTTTAATCAATTTTAACTTGCAACTCAACAGTTTTGACGTTTAAATAAAATATAATTTGAAAAGAACTTGAAAAACGTTTGAATAAACAAAGCAACATGGCAGCCAATACAAGAAATTCTTAAATGAAATACATGGAATTTCTGATCTTGGGATCGACTTCGACTGCATATTTGAAGCTGTTTTCTAATAACACCTGTTCTTCGGAAAGGTCAGAATTGGAATCGCTGTTGCAGCCCGTATCTTCCCATCTGGACATCAGGTGCTGTTTGGCACGGTAGGCTGCCAGATGAGCGTACATAACAGGGCACGGGATGGAAATGCTTCGAGTGCATCTGACGTAAGTATGGCACAAGTAATACGACAGGGTTTGCAACTCGTCGGCTGTAAAATTGTTATCGTCCCACAACACCGTGTAATGGGCGGGCCTGCTGGTGCCCTGAATGCCGGTGTGGCTGCAGATGAAAAAATCGAAGTGAGAGGGATGGACGATGTCAGTATCCACGATGGTGCCCGGGGGGATATTCCGATGTTTTCCCACTCCGTCTTCCAAATTTTCTGGTATGAAACGAGTGTGGTGTCGTTTGCCCACCACGACGAAAGTAATGGGTGGTTCGTATACTTCCGAAGGATTCATTTCTGTGCAGGCATCGCGCATTAGCATCAATTCTTTATTCACTGCTTTAGAAAATTCACCTTCGCTCAATCCGTCTCTGTAGAATATAATTTTTTCGGGTCTTTGTCCTCCGGTGTTTCGATAGAACGAGATTAATAAGTCTTTCATCATCTCTTTCATGTTCTCGATGATCTCCATTCTGTTCTTTTTGCCGTTCTTCTGCACGCTGACGGTTGCGGCGTATCTACTCGGATAATTGTCTAAACTTCCCACCAAAGCTGCAATAGATGATTTGATTTTGTCATGTGGCGAAGGATGGGTGCAATCGGCACCGATGACGATGACCGGTTTGTTGAAAATCTCAGGGTTGACTATCGGCGACAGGATGTTGTTAACTCCACCCAATTTGGCGTTGATTTTTTGGCACAGATTGCAAATTAATTGGGCGTTACACTTCTTGCCCGAAATATTCACGTCTTTAACGCATTGGGTGATTAGTCCCATCTTTATTTCCGCCATTTCTTTAATTTCGGCGTAGACGCTTCCTCTTCCTCGAGATGGGAGGACGATCATGATCAACTGAATCCTGGGACATGAAGATACTATGCTTTTGAAAAGTCTCTCTACAGAATCGTTGGCCGGGGAATATTCTCTTACGTAGCAGGGTTTGTTAATAATCATGCCAAATTTTTTCCCTCCTTGACAGATCATCCGAGCAAAATTTAACATGTCCGTTTCCTTGCAGACATTCCAAGACATGCTGACAAACGCCCACCATTCTACTTCGATGGAATGATAGAAATTCTTCTCTCTCAGATCCCAAGCGCCGTTCTTTGGAAGAATTTCTTCGAATTGGCCGTACATGACCATAGGTGGCATTAACACTCGTCCGTCTACACGCACCGGTTGACTGTTTATGGCAATGCCAAATTTCCGATTAAGTTCCTTGTTTTCTTCACAAGTCTGTTTAATGGCTTTCGCGATGTCATTAAATCGAACTTGCGGGGATCTGGCAGTGTTTCGTATCATCTCTGCCACTTGCTTATCGTCCATCTTCTTATTGCAGTGTTGACCCGGACAAACTTCGCAAACTTCGACAGGGAAATAAGAGCATTTGGTTGTATTTCCCACACAAACGCATGGAAGATGCGAGTATCGAAGTTCCCCGTATTGCACCTTGAAGTAATCAAGAACAGAGATCTGAAATGGCAAATTTTCTCGTTCCCAAGTGAAGTAGACGAATCTTGCGGGTTTGCTGGTAACGCTGTTAATCTTGTATGTCTTTTTGTATTGCAAGTGATTAACTGTAATTTTCAGAGACTTCAACTCTTTTTGAAGTATTTTTATCTGGCGAACGTTGAGCTCTCTGTCCTGTTTGACGTTAGTATTTAGAACTTCTTCGATAAAATTTATCAACGGTCCGCTTTTATAAAACGTGGTAGCCGATATGTCGACGTTCAGCATGGGTTTCCACTGAGCTATGCGAACGCTCTGGTGGTAACCGAACCAGATTTCTCGACCTCCTCCCATCGAAATCCTTTCTTTATCGCTGGAAGAAAAAAATGACCTGCCGATAGGTATCAGAGATTTTGCAGGTCCGTGGCGCATGATGGTATCGACGGCCATGATGGCCTCCTCGGAATTTCTGAGGTTTCTTCCTCGAAGAGGTTCTAGATCGATTCTCGGAAGAGCCATTTTATCTTTACAGACAGGTTTTAAAACTACGTTATAATCGCATATTCCCTTATTGCTCTTTAACGATACGGAGAACGTCTTCTGTTCTTCGATGGGCATTAGATTGCAACTGAACATATTCTTTTTTCCATCGAAGGCGACGGGATAGTCTCGAAATAATTGAAAATTTGTCAAAAGACTATCAATTACTCTCCTGTTTTCTCTGGTGTCGAGACAGTTGTATCTTTTATAAGTTACGGACCGTTTCTTATTCTTTTGCAGAGGGATAATATCCACGTCGTAATGGTAAATATAATTCTTGTCTATCTTCATTTCGAAGAAGTTACTTACGATCTTCATTCTCCTACCAGCGAACCCGAATCCCGGTCTGGGTGGAAAAATTTCCTGGAAGCAAACGTTCTTCGGTATTGCCACTATTTTGTCCCCCTTGACTTCTCCATATCTTATATCGGTAGATACAGACAATAACTCCTGATTGACCAAAGGAGAGAGTATAACGTTGCTTTTCAATAAGTTAACGTTATTATCTTTTGTCTTCGGAACTGTCCCGACGTTTAAAATCTTCCCGATGACGTCGTGCTTTTCTTCAGCTAATGGAATAATGAAAATATTTATTAAAATTAGAGAATTTCTAGCAATGGAAGAATAAGGGAACGAAACAAGAACGGGAGATTCTAAAGGCACCAAAGGAGGATGGAAGTAAACTGTAACGATAATATTTAATTAATTTTAATTAATTTCAAATGTTTTTTACCTTCATTAATTCTTCTCTTGGTTCTTTTAATCACAAATTCCATTTTCACTTACTTTCGATTTGCGCTTAGAATTTTAATCGAATTCGAAAATGCTAGAACGTTTTTACTTTTGAAAATATTCAAAATCCGAAACGAACGAATTTTCATTTATTGATAAAAAAAATAATTTAATTATTATAAAATTGCGTAATTATTTCAGTGTATTATTAATTTTATAAAATTTCAATTATTTAGTTTATTGTTTAATTAATTATTACTTGAGCGGTAGGTCCCGAGAATTGACGGCCGGATGGCCGAGCGGTCAAGGTGCCAGCCTACCGTTCTGGGGGACCCGGGATTGAATGTTGATATGTGAGGCCCCGTCTTTCAACCCATTGTGGGCATAGCCGAACTTATAATGGGCTTGCTAAAAGAGGCCCCTTTTAGTGCCCACTGGGAGGAGTTTTAAAAAATATATATATATAAAAGCGAGTTGGCAACAATGGCAAAGAGACTGGACACACGTGTAAACAAAAATGTTATTAAAATGCATTCATCATATATAATAAAATAGAAATTAATTTACTAATGTTTAGTTCGAAATTATTTTAAAGATTATGTACTTAACTAACGATCTAAGTCGATTTTTAACTATGGAATATTTGTATATCATTCGGGAAATCAATTGATTACAATATCAATGTCTTTTAATAAGGATGCGTATTGTTAATCATACGGAAATTCGTACAAAGTACATTACTGATCGTTCTACTCGAGGTCATTGATGATAACAAGCTGATAAACGTATTTAAAAAAGCAATAGTAACAGATTATTTTCAGAAAAATGGACGTAGTTGTGATTGGCGGTTGTGTAGTAGATCTAATCAGGTATATTTAAGTTTTCAGTTGTATAATATAATATTCACTTTAAAGTTTAAACTATAGACGGAAAAATTAAGGGTTTATAAATAGTTTTCCAGAGACAAGTAACTTTTTTTAACTGCATTGATATGGTCGGTGAGATTTGTGTACTGCATATAAGTGCAGTTGGAAACTTAATGATTCAACCACCACACTAATTAACAATCAGCTTATAACACTCATGTTCTTATTTATTTATTTATGTCAGAGAAATACACAATGATAACTATTTTTACACACACAATTTACATATTCTAGTAACTCATATTTTCATCTGCTTGTCATAGCTAGCTGTGCACATCAGGATGTACTAATTAGTAGAATTACAGAAATAAAAGGCTTTCTATGCAAACATGTGACTCTAATGAAGAAACTTCTGATGTTTTTAACATGTCCTGTAAATTTGTAGTCATTTTGGGCTATGATATTTACACTTATCAAATTTTTAGGAAGGTTATGGTGCCACAACTTATTCAGTTTATAGAAGATGCTTCTATAAACTTTGAGATTTTCCTTTTCAGTTCTTGCAATTGTTTTTGAGTGATGTTTTGTTCTTTGAATTTACAGAAATTTGGAAAATATATTAGAAATTTTAGACTTTTCATGTTATGCTGCACCTATTATCTAATAAATGAAATAATAGCCTAATATAAAAATATTTATATTAGAATATAGTTGCCATTTTATTTGGGTACCACATAGATAAGTAAATGCATTTTCGGCAAAATTTTGATATTTTACAGGTTTAAAATCCTGCAGCATTCAGTTTCTGACAATTGTCAATTTATAAAAAATTTCAAATAAACAAACTTTGTTACACATTTGTAGAATTGCATTAGGAACATTAATATTATAAATACAGACATGTAATAGGGTATATTTTTTGCTTTAATATCTATAGCAACATTTGTTATAAATATAATTGTAAATCTTATAAGAAAGATGAACAGACCAAAAACAATTATTTTCTTCTTTCTTTTTAATTAGCTATGCTGATCGTTTTCCTGTTGCTGGGGAAACTCTAATAGGATCAAATTTTTCCAAAGGATTTGGAGGAAAAGGTGCTAATCAATGTGTCATGATCAGTAGATTGGGAGGTAGAACAGCAATGATTGCAAAGGTAAGTCTTAAAAGCTTCGATAAAATAGTAATTAACAAAATTTTAAATAATAATAACAGCACTTTAATAAAAATTAATTTATTATTCTTGCTATTATCTAATATGTTAGTAACCTATGATTTATCGTCATTTCTTCTGAAGCTATCCTACAATATACGAGATTATAATTAATGGTCTTTACAGTGAAAATACTAAATATTTTTAATAATTTTCATACATAAATATACTTAGGGCTTGAGTTTAAGAACTGAGCTTAATTAAAGAATTTTTATGATTATTTCATTGCAGAAATTTTTGAGAATCTTATATGCAATCTATATTCAATGAAATGTTGTTATAACAAATGCCAGCATAATGAAATTATCAGTATAGCAAATTTATTTTCAATTACTTGTCAATTTAATATGTATCTTAATGTAAAATTTCAATGTAACAAAATAAAAAGCTCAACCTTTATCAAAAAAGTGATCATTGTAACAAAATCTGTTGTTTCTGTTTTGATGTTTATCAAGCAATATGAATATAGCAATATAGTCCTAATTGTTGACTTAGTTTGAAGTGTAATGTCATTGCTGTCAATTATCTAAAATGGTAAGCTAATCTTCATCTGATACTGTAGACTAGGGTTACTTTGTAACAATTTTCAACCTTTTTTTAGTGATAATTACTGGATTATTGGACCAAACATGTCATTAGTTGTCATTTTAGGGAAGATTAAACCTTCTGCTTTCTTTATACATCTTAATTGTTAATTTATTTTAAACAATATTATGAAAAATATTTGTCACAATTTTCCCTGTTACTTAAAGTCTGTCATAAAGTTACCCCATTTGCTGCATACATCTATGATGAACTCCATGTTACCCTGCAATGATTTCAAATAGAAAGAAAAGAAAGAAACAAAAATCATTCATTAGAAATACTGTCTTTTCTTAATTATCATAAAGCAAACAATTTTTAATTTTTCAATAAACATTAAATCTTATTTTTTATTACTACCAGAAATAAAAAACAACATGATACTGAATTTTCAAAACAGAAACAACAGATTTTGTTACAATGATCACTTATTTGATAAAGGTTGAGCTTTTTATTTTGTTACATTGAAATATTTTACATTAAGATGCATATTAAATTGACAAGTAATTGAAAATAAATTTGTTATACTGATAATTTCATTATGCTGGCATTTGTTATAACATTTCATTGAATATAGATTGCATACAGTAATACCCCGACTTACGCGTACCCAGAGTTACGCGATTTTCAAATCTCGTCGATTCGTCTTTTGTTTGAGTGCCATGCAACCCTTGATCACTCACTCCCCCCACACTATTGTTCAGCTTACATGTTCGGATGTGTCGCGCGGAATCCACACATAGCTACAATTTATTTTGTGTTATTTATTTCTGTGTTTGTTATATCTACGGAGACTCGAGAGACTCTACTATGTCATCCAAACGAAGTAGAACTAATTCTTCTGCATCAAACAAGAAAAGAAAAGCTTTATCTTTGGAATGTAAAGTTAACATTGGGTATATTCGTAAAGTCGAACGAGTTAAACGAGAATGACGTCATCATTATTCCTATTTCGTTAGAGTTTTCGAACGATTCGTTACTAACGCGTTTAACTCGTTTGACTTTACGAACGTACCCATTATTAATGACTTCGATACAAAAATGAAAATTTGTGAATTGGCAAAGAAGTTTGATCTATTGGAATTGTCGGTCAGAACAATTATAAAAGACAAAGAAAAAATTTTCGAAGCTGTGAAAAATGCTCAATCTTTAAATTTGAGCATCATTCGTAAACGTCACAGTATTATCGCTGAGATGGAAACAATGTTAAAATTATGGCGTAATAATCAAGTAAATGTGAAAAATTGTAAAATAATATAGGCCTAATTTGTTATACATATGTATTATCTAAGATTTTATTAAACATTTTTTTCTAAATTATTGTTTTCTTTAGTCTCCGGCCCCAATTAAAAATTATTTATATGTATTTATATGCGAAATTATACCCCGACTTACGCGAATTCGACTTACGCGGTTACCGCTTGGTCCCACCTATCACGTAAGTTCGGGGTATTACTGTATAAGATTCTCAAAAATTTCTGCAATGAAATAATCATAAAAATCAATTCATGAATAAGAGAGCAATAAAAATCAGTCATTCTTCAGACCATTACCATATTTTCAACAGACTTCATTGCACTTATATGCATACAATTCCAGAGTAACACCTCTCTTCAAAAATTATAATTATATAAGTACCATTTTTTTAGTCTTCTAGATAAGTTTATTATACAGGATGTGTTATTTCACTGTCTGCATCATATAATTCTCAATTTTCATCCCACTTTGCTTTCATTAGATTCTTTGTATACTGTCAACAACTCAACAAAATATAATTCTATAGTTTACACTAGCTAAACCAATTAATAACAATTAATTGTATTTATAGATAATTATAAGCAAGAATAATAATTGAACTTAAACATACTTTTAACACACCAACTGTTTTTGTTTCTGTACATCCAAAGAAAATATCATACAGTTTATACACCACCTTGGTGTTCCTTCTGATAATCAAGATTAAATCAATAGTGGAAAATATTGCCTCCTATACTTTCCAGCTTTAGCATCAGGCAACATTTCTGTTACTTGCCAGTTTATTATTACAGGCTATTGACATCTTATCCACAAATAAATTTTGGAATGGTTATAAACCTGTCATATTCAAAATAAGTCATTCTAGTGTGATGTTACAAAGTAACCTTGGTTTACAGTACTCGAAAAGTTAGTCAAGAATACTGTTTTGGATGCAATCAATGTGATACAAATGTACTGCCCAAAGGCAAAAGGTTCTATCTCCATAAAAACAGAAAATCAAATTGCATATTTGTCACCATGCTTAATTAGTATCCTTTATTGATACTGCCTAATATCTAGTAGAAAAATATTTTGTAATTATTGCAGAACAATTAGAGCCTTTTGCTTTTGGGCAACACAAATCCTGTACCTTTTCTGATAGAATGAAAAAATTAGAATATTGGAATGTTGTAACACAGTTCCAGGACTTTATAAGGAAGGCCATTGATTATATATATGTTGCAGCCAAATTGTTAATATAGCCACTTTACAATGTGCTTAGCCATTTGATTAAATAGTGCCATTTTGTAATAAAGCTAACTAAAGTGCAGCCACTTTACAAAGAGGCTAAACCAAATCCTGTCAGATTGAATGACATTTCACATTTTATAATATTGCTGACCAAATGATTAGCCATATTACAATGCAGTGTTAGATAAACTGCCAGATTGTCATATTTACTTCCAATTCTTATCAGTTGAGCACTAAGGAACTTTGCCAGATTTGATTTCCAAAATGGGCTACTCTTATTTTAGTTGGGTTTGGCACATTGTTTATTTTTTGGGCTACAAAAATTTGAATTGGCTGCATAAATTATTATTTCATTTGTTTCAGTCTAGAACAGCAATACCTATCTCTATTTGTGTCACCTTTAGACGTAATTTTTGCTTTCCCAGCTGTTATATATAACAGAGGGAAAGTATGGCAATCGGTCAAAAGATGACCTCCAAGATTTACATTTTTGGACTTGGGACTCCTTGAAACATCAAGAAATACAAAAGAATTCAGGGAAAATTTTGATATGTATGGATGTTAGTGTGTGGGAGGGCATGATTTTGTTCACCCTCTTTGAAGCTTAGCACTCAAAGTACAGAAGTTATTAACTTCTATGCTTTTTGTCAGAAATTTCTGAAATTTTGTAGGAAGGTTTGTTTATTGGGGGATTGATGATATTAAATTTTGGTGATTAAAGATTGGGGAAATAATGAAGGTTGTGTATATCTCCAGTAAGGTTGGACTTAATAATGATTTTACTTGTTATTAGCATTAACATTTTTTTATAAAACCCATCTCTACTTTCAAAATTAAGCTTTTTGCCATTTTATAATAGTTAAAAGTATAAAAAGTTCTTTTAATATGATAGTAGATGGTGCCACCAAAATTTTAAATGTTGCCGGAAAAGTTGAGCAACTTGTTGCTGGTTTATTTTATATGCAAAAGCAAGCATAATATACAAATTGAAAGAGAAGAAGCGCATAAAGGAGTTAAACAGGCTGCAGAGAAGATGGTTGACAATACCGCTAAGAAACTTTCCCTATTACATATTGGAAAGAGTATTTTTCTTAATGTACCAAAAATAGATTGTGGTCCTTTAAATACTAAAATATTATGGGAAAAATTGTTTATTTCAGAAATGGAGTATACAAGAGAGGAATTAAATGCACAATAATTAAAAATTGGTTCTGTTATTATGAATTACAAGAATCATTGAGTGATTATGGTGATGAAATACCAGAAAGATCAATATATCTGTGAGAAGCTGTGAATGATCAATCATTATTTGGTGGTCAAGGATTTCAAAAATGCTCATGCAAACCCGTGAAAAATCAGTGTCACGCTAATAGATGTGGACGTTTTAAAAAGAAAGTTCTTTGCAGATCTAAATGTCACTCTAGTTTATCTTACATTAATAAATATTACATCTATTTGATACATTTAATATTATTTTGTAACTATTGAAGTAATTTAATGGTTTTAAAGTGTATTCTCATTTTTATAATTTAATTTTGCACTTTTTAGTATGTCAAACTACCTCTATTTATGTCATGATTTTACTAAAGTTATTGTTAATTATAATAAAGTTCTTAAATGTTAAGAATACTTAATAGCAATACAGTTGTTAAAGATGTTAAATGACCAATAACAGTTAAGTTGATTAGTTATTTTAGATAATTATGTTATTTCCTAAAATCAGGAATTAACTCAAATACTGTACTTTTTATAATTTTCAAGTTTATAAATAAATAATTTCAATTATGCAATATATGTTTTTTTACTTCCTAATACTTTTGTTTCTAACCTTAGTGAATAATTCTTGATCAGAGTATATTTTTTTCTTTTCTGAACAAGGGGCTGAAGTAGCTAGATTGCACACCTGATGTTGAATTTTATTGCTCCCTTTCTCCTCTTATTAAATGTTTGTTAAAAATTAATTTTTTTATACAAATATTACTTAGTATTTAATTTTGCCAGAATCAGAGTCGGCCTAATAAAATTATCAGGAGTTGGAGTTGAGTGTTTTTTACCAACTCCACAGCCATGGTTATAACATGTTTAAACAGCAAGGAGAAGGAAGCCTCATTTGGCAATTTTTCCTTAGTCTTTCACATCATATATTGGCATCATAGTCCATCTCCCCTTGCTTGTTTATTCTATCTTTTCCTATCTGGTGCTGCCAATCTTCTTACATCCATTCAGCTAAAATTTATCTTCAATCCTAATTCCTTTTGCAGTATTATTTTACCTTCAATCAACCATATGATGATTTTCTTTTCTTGGAATTACAGAGATTTTGACTAAACCACTTATTTACAGAAGTGCATTATGCATATATATAATTATTTCCAGAATATAATTTTTCTTAATGCTAAATAAATAAATAAAGCATTTGATCTGATTAATCTATGATAGATATTCTATTATTAAAATAGTTACTTATTTTGAGTTAATTATCTCATAATTGGACTATTCAAAGAATTTTCTGTTTCATATAGCAACTAAAGATATTTTATAAAAAATTTAGGTGTTTTTTTTTACAAGTTTGGCTGAAAACTAAATAAATTGAGTATTGCAAGCAATTATATGCCTAATTGAGAATGTCTTTGAGAAGCATTTCACTTAATTATAGTCAATATAATAATATATAATACAAAATTATAATCATAATTTTATATAGTAAATGCTTATCAGTGTAAGTTACAATGATAAATTTGTTAAAAAACATCACCACTCAATCCTGATTTAATTCAGCAAAAGATTTTTCTAGCTTTTTGCTGGACCTAATCAAGGTTGAATGGTGTCATTTTAGTTTCTTGTCCAGTTTGAATGAGGTATTTATAAGTGTGTTTTGTAGTCATACTTCATATGAGTTATTCAATGTAAATTCAATTATATTATTAATAAATTAGTTTATTTTAAAAGTGTTTCTCATTAAATAGCAGTTTAATTTGAGAAAGTTTCAAAAGTATGGTCATATTGATTCCTTTTTATATCATTTATTAAATTTTAATAGAAACACATTAATTATAACAGAGACAAATTCTAATGATTTATTCATAAAACATTAATGAACCCTAAATCAATGCAATATTGTCTTAGAGAATTTACTATTCATATTTATTGTTATGAGATCAAGAAAATGGCTTTTTCATTAATTTTTTTTTTGTTTGAGCATTTTCAATCATATATAATAAGACTGAAAATTTTAATTTAATTCTAAAAGTTTGTCTATTAAAACTTTTTGTTTTGATATACAATACAAAAATAAGGTATGAAGTATGAAATTTTTTATAAAATTTTTATCCATCTACAGATTTTATTTATGAAGAATTAAAATAATAATCATGCATTTTAGCATCTGTTACAGATTAATTGATGCTAGTTTGGAAATTAATTTAAAGAAGTTTTTAAATCATATTGGATTTATTTTGTTATCTTTTCTAATGAACAGATATGACATCATCTATTTGTTAAGAATATTGTTTTTTCAGTTAGGAGATGATACTTTTGGTAAAGAATATTTTGAATGTTTTCAAATGAACCAAATTAATTATGGTAATATGTTTGTTTATTTTTTATGATATAAAATAAACTATAAATATTGAATTTGTTTTTTATTTTTCAGAGCATGTAACAGTTACAACAGAAAGTTCAACAAGTACAGCAACTATATGTGTCACAAAGAATGGTAAGTTCTATGCTTATTAAAATCAACAAAATGACTTTGAAACATATCGGCAATACTATTCATAATTTTGCTAAATATTTTTATATAATTTCTCGTGTTTAAATTATTTTAACATTCAGATCTAAATATTTTAAAAAGATTTATTTTTTGAATGAATAGGAAAGATGGACATACCCTCTACTACTTATTCATTTATTAATGAATAGTATCATTATATATAAGATTTTCAAGAACTATTTGACAAATTTGATGAGTTGTAAAAATATAAATCAATGAATGTTGAAAACAAACTCTACAAAAAGTTACTTAATTATTCATTGATTATTTTTACTATTAGAATAATGTACAGGTTTAAAAGTTTTGTTCTATAAATGTTTACAACACCAACAGATTCTGTAAACATATGTCATTTGAGTATTCTTAATATAAACTGTCAAATTAACATGAAAAAAATATTAAGTAGAGTGTGCATTTTTGTAATAAAAATGTACTCATAATTGAAGTATATGATGTAATCAAACTACAGGGAAAATTTATAATATCTTATAACAGCAAAATTAAACCCCACATTACTGGTTATTGATAGCATTTGGATCTTGAATAGATAAAAATTACTTTGGAATTCATTGATATTAATCATGTACATGAATTATGTTTATTTGATCACTGACCATTGCAACATTGAAAAAAGAAGTAATATTTCTTTTTTATATTGCATAATTAAAATATAAATTGAAAACATAAATATTGAAAGATTTGCTAAAAGCTGTAATGCTGAGAGTTGTCATAAAAACTATTTTCTATTGTGTTATATAATATAATACTTAATGAAACATTAATTAATATTTACTTACTCTAAATATGAAAATATAAGTTATATGTTTATTGAAGTTTTTTAGTTTTTATTAAAGAAATATTTGTTGCAGAGAAGCAATTATTTTTAAAATTTATATACTGAATGATCATAATTGAAATTTTCCCTATTCAATGCTGTCTGGAGAGAGATTTAGCAGTCCAAATGCAATCAATTCTGATGAGATGATATTTCCATAAAAAAGTAATACTGAAACTCACCATTATGGCACCTTTGGTCATACAAGGTACATACTATAAAGGACCTTAGCAATGCAGTGGATATTGCTCAATGTTAATCCCCATTTTAAAGGTATAAAACTGCCAACCCATACTCTATCATGCTTCTCACATGAAGTATAATATTGTCTTTCAAGACTGGCATTTCAATAACTCTGGACCATCACAGAACACATCATCCTTGGGACTAACTTCTTTGATGAAGAATGGTGTAAGGATAAATGTGGCTGTGAATCTACTGGACAATTGTACAATTGTGGATGTACTTACATATAATAATACATAGTATAGTATGGTTTTGTTTTACATGAGAAAGCTTTTGACAGTGCTGGCTGTTGGCATGTTTTTTTGTGACTTACTGTTACGATCTACAGTTCAACTATTTGCCATTAATTGACTTTATTGAGGATGTCTTTTTCTACCATAATACTTTCTTTTTTAATTTTGTTCTTTTTTCTTATTATTGGAGGAGTTGAACTTAATCCAGGTCTAATGTCTCATACACGACCTTCTCCTCATAATAAAGCTTCAACTACTGCTGGTAAACTTTGTCAGTCACCAAGTGAACCAACATTGAAATTATCTTGACTGGACAATTATTTTGTATTGCAGGATATTTCTTCTCAAATACCTCAGAAGATTGTGTTTTCTCGAGGAACGTTTTGATACTATTCTATCAAACTGGAAGAAGTGTCATTGAAATTTGATTGGTTGTCTAATTTACATAAGAAGTATGAAGAACATCTAACCCACCTGGAAGGAGAAGTTACCAAACTTTTGATTTTTAGAACCATATGGATAATTTTTCTCTTCATAATTATTGTGTAGCCTCTATATATGATGATTTGAAGAAAAATAACATTATCATTTCCAGTTTGAGTGGTAATGATGAAGAATTAGTTAATAATGCTAATAACTTTATTGAGTTGCTTAAAAGATAATAAAAGGAATAGACTCTCCATTCTAATAGTTATCATCAGGAACTCAGCTTGTATTGTTTGAGCTCTATACTGAAGTTGATAAAAGACTTATTTTTAAAAATTTAAAGAAAATTAAGGAATTGTTGTCCTTATGCATTAGAGTTTTTTATGATTTGTCGTATAGATCAAAATAGCTTCTGCAAAACAGGCAATTTTCTATGCCTAAATCTCTAAATAAAAAAGCATTTCTGAAAGCTGATTGCTTGACAGTTGATAATAAATTCACTTTTAATTTTCTGCAGTTCATTTCTAAATTGATACGTTTTTGGACAAATGGGTTAATTGGAACAATTACTAAAGAGAGGGATAAAACTTTTCTAATGAGAATATTGTCTTGGAATTGTCAAGGAATGTTGAACTTGACAGTGAATGACCAAGAGTTTAGAGTTTATATAATAGCCTAAAAGGGAAGGCCAGTTGCAAAAAGTGTAATGTCTGGAACACAAAGTTAATAAATGGTGGTTCCTCTTTTTGGGAAGGACTTTGTCTTCAAAAAAAAAAAATTAATCATAATTATTGCCATCAGACAAAGATTTACAAAAATAATTTTAAAGTATTGTCACCAGGGGTCAGCTTTCCTCATCTACATTTTACCAGCGCCTATTTCGTTGTAGATAAAAACCGAAACAACCCCAAGAAGGTATGATGGAGAATAGAAGACGTCCGTACATCACCAGTTCCTTTTTTTAAAAATGTTTGTTTTTTTAAAGGACTGTTTGGTGGCCAGTAGCCTAAAAGGGAAGGTCAGTTGCCAAAAGTGTAATGTCTGGAATACAAAGTTAATAAATGGTGGTTCCTCTTTTTGGGAAATCTTCAAAAAAAGAAAAAAAAGAAGAAGTTTAAATCATAATTTTACAAAAAATATATAGTTAACCAAGTCATTCAAGCAACTAATTCCTATAAATGGGTCCTTTCTTTTATTGAATCCAGATTTACTTTTATATGATTTGCTAAAAAAACCAATTGGTCCCGGTCATCCATATGGCAGGTCTCATTCTTGCAGTTTCCTATAAACTAGGTTTTTTGGAATTGTTTAGCTCCGACGATCCGATTGTAATTAGATTTAATTGCAGGAAAAACTTTTGTTCACTTAATTATAGCTTGATAATTATTTATTTATTTGAGAATAGATTTTTATGATGTACTGTTAGATTTAAATGGAAGATTTGCTGAGGAATTTTTCTCAGGATGATATAATTATTTTAGGAGACATGAATGGGTGAGTAATTAGTATTAAACCCAGTGTAAAAATTATCTAATGATTTAATATTAAACCAAAGAGGAAAAGGATTTCTACAATTAATTAAGTGGTAGGGATTATATATTTTAAACGGTTGATGTATCTCCAATTATCTGGCTAAATTTACTTTTCTTTCAACAGTTGGTCCATCTGTTATCGATTTAATAACATTAAATGTGAATTTATTAGATTTTAGAGTTTTTGATATTTTTAATTCTGACCGTTTTCCAACTTCAATATTGTGTGGATTTAGGATGGATAGGGTATTGACTCAGAAACTTTCAAAAATTCATTATGTATGGAAATAAGAAAGATTGAATAATTATTTCTCTCTGATTAGCTCATTATATATTTCAATTAAAAGGACCTTTCTGCTGGATGTGGAATGGTTAAGAAAAATATTTCTTTATTATTTGATCCACAGTGTCTACATTTAAAGAAAACAAAGAACTGAGTATTATGAATGTTTTGTAGAAATAAAACTAGAAATCTATTGGACGAATATTGCAAATTAAATAAAAGCTATAAGTCACTATGTAAGGCAAAGAAAAAGTTATTTTTGGCTAAAATAAACTCACAACTATTGAGGACTAAAAATACTAAAGATTAGTTAATAAATTTCAAACTAAGAAAACAAATGAAAATGCTATATCCCCCTTAGATTAGTTGAATTATTTTAGAGAGTATTTCACTGGACCTAATACAGTAATTTATTTTGATTTAAGCTTTGGTAATGTTCCTCTTTTGTATGTTCCTATCACTGAGTGAATTGGAAACTGTAATCAGAAAATTAAAATTATCTAAGGCTCCCAGTTTTGATAATTTAAGAAATGAAATGATAAAGTACCTTTCTACAGAAATATTACTAGATATATTGGATATATTCAATTCCTTTTGATCTAGTTGCTCTTTTCCTTTATCTTGGAAACAAATTTCTTTAAGGATGATTTATAAGAGAAGTACGCAGACATCAATTGCTTTAATTAGTATATTTAGGAAGATTTTTTCAACTATTATGGCAAATCATCTGAGATTGGATGAATGAGTTTAATATTGTTACACCTCTCCAAGGAGCATTTATTAAAAATAAGTGTCAAATACAAGTTATTTATTATGGTTGGTCTTATTCAAATATCACTTTTGAGGAAGCGAGGAAAATTATCTACTGCTTTTATTGATCTCAAGAAAGCTTTCAATAAACACGATTACAGTCGATCACGATTTGTTATGGTATAAGCTTAGAAGTATAGGTCTTTCTGCATTTTTCATTAATTTACATCATCAGTACAAAGTAAAAAAGATTTATGTAGATTCCAATAGAGAGTTACTTTGAGTTACTTCAAGGAGAACTATTGAGTCCTATCCTCCCCTTTTTTTAATGATCTTCCTAATGTGAGAGGTCAAAGTTCTATGATAGCAGTATCTTCTCATGTTGAAATTAACTGTCTTCTTTATGCTGGTGATGCCCTTCTTTTGGCTAATTCAGCTTTTGCACTTAGGGAAAGACTCAATCTTACTTTGAGATATTGTCCAGTTAATTTGGAAAAGACAAAGATTACCACCTCTACAAAAAATCATAATCTTAAAAAAACAGACAATTTCAGTTTAGAAAAACTGTAAACTGGAAATTGTGTCAAATTTTAAATATCTAGGTATTTATTTTTCTTCACAGGTTCTTTTAAATAAAGGTTTACTTGATGCAAGACCTAAGATCTCCAATCTCATCAAGTTACTAATTAAAATTAAAGCATCTTCATTAAATAATTATTTTAGATTATTTGATTCCTTGATTGGACAAAGTATTTTTTATACTTTTCTGGTTTGGGATAGTCTGTTAGTGGACAGATCTGAGGCAATACAGTTGTTCTACTTTAAGTATGTGTTCCATATTAATAGATCTTTCTCAGGACCTGCACTGAGAATGGAATTGGGAAGACCTCCCCTCTCTACTAATTTATCGATAAATTTGTTTCAGTTTTGAAGGAAACTTATTGACTACCAGAAGACGATTATTGAAAATTGATATATACAGACTTTTACAGATAAATGGTAATTCTTTTTTGAAGCCATGACTGTTATAGTTAATGGATTATTAAATAATATTGGACTGTCCTCTAGTTATATGTATTTTTTAAGTGAAAGTTCATTCCTGGATTGTGATCAACGACTAAGAGACTTATATTAGTCAAAAGATGTTCATTTTTTGAGTGAAAGGTAAAACTTTTCTTAATGGAATGTGGACTCCAATGCTATAATTATCATCTAATTTGAGTTACAAAATAAAGCCATTTGCTGTACAATTTAGATTAAATAGGTTTTTGATAAACTTAAATGGTAAAATAATTAATGTCTTGTGTGACACTGAATTTTCTTTTTGTGGAATGACAGTGATGAATATGAGAAAACACCTTCTTGATTCTTGTAATATTCTTTTGGATATCTGACCTGCTACACTAATATTTAGTTTTTGTTATCAAATTTTATTTGGTGACAGTTTTGCCATGTTAACATTGATATATGAACAAAAAAATTATATAAATTTAAAGTAACAATGATATTTAAAACCCATTATATAAAATAAATCAATCAATCTTTATTATTTTATATAATGGGTTTATATAATGGGTTATAAAACAATCAATCAATCAATCTTTATGATTGTTTTACATGGGGATTATTCAACATGTACAGTGGTAAAATGAAACTTCACATAAATTTGGCTAGACACATTTACCCATCCACAAAAACACAAATCTGTAATGTCAATCTCACAATAATCATCATCATACAGTATTTATAATATTATATTATTACACTGTTAGACCTGTACATTTACTTAATTTATACTGTAATAAAGTAATAATTTTGTTCATAATAATAAAATGTATGATTTGAAATATATATTTTTCAAGGTGAAAACAGTATTATCTACGTTCCTGGTGCAGTCAATTGTCTTAGTAAAGAAGATATTTATAATGCTGAAAAAGTTATTGCACAAACAAAAGTTCTGTTATGTTGTAATGAATGCCAATTAGATGTATTATTAGAAGCTCTAAAGGTTGCTCAAAAACATAAAGGTAACTTAAAATTATTTCACTGAATAGATAGATATACAGTAAAACTTCTAATCTCAAATTCCTCAAGTTGAACTGGATTGTCAGACATGGTGAACATCCTACATAATATAAAAATACATTATATTATGTAGGGTGTTCCAAAAATTAAACAGAATTTTATATATCTCAATACTGTCCCTCCTTAAATTGAACTCAGCATATCCTAACCAGCCTATTAAGTTCCCCAAATCCTTTTGGCATGTTGCCTGGTAAAGTGCCCTTTGTTCATGAGCACATTGCAAGTTTAGTGGAAAACCCACTGGATCTAGTAGGAATGTGAAATTTTAATTTTTCAATAAATTCAGTGTAACTTAGAGAAGTAGATTTAGGTATATCACAAAATTACAATATTGTGCTGCAATTTGAAAAAATGTAGACCTATAAATTCCCACTGTCTGTCTGCTTTTAATCCCAAGAACGGGACACTATATGAGGCTGTTGTAGTTAATGGATTATTAAATAATGTTAGATAGATGAAAGTTGAGACCAGATATGGAAAGCTTAGGGGCAAGAGACCCCAATTAACTATATACAAATTTCCAATTTGGATCAGAAGTCATGTTGAAAAATTTTTCTGAATGGAGTTTTATAGTAATACAATTGTGCTGGTCATCTAACAGGAAAAGTATGATTTATAGGGGCAAGAAACTACTAATTTGAGGTAGAGAGCATATATTTTAAATTAAATAAAAATATGATTAAAAATTTTAGCCTAGCATTGTGATAATTTAACAATAAATAATTGCTCATTTAAGTCATTTTTACAGCCTCATATATTGTTCTAATGGGCTCAAAGACATCATATATCATACAAAGTACAAAAGATTTAATTCTATCTCTGTACCTAGAACTCTCCAAAATGTAAACTGGCCATTTTTTGGTTTCTTCAAATTTGAGATTTACAAGATTTACTGCTTATTGTAAAAGATTATTATTTAGTTTCAAATCACCTTAAAATTTTTTGTATTTAAATTAGATAAAAGTCTATAAAAATAGTAATAAGTTAAGTTTATTTTCAACCAATGTCAAATTTTCTATAAACACAGACAATTCGTAAATCAGTGAGTATGAATAAAAAAAATTTAGTAGTAGTAGTAGTAGTAGTAGTAGTAGTAATTTATTGTAAACCACAATAAATTATTGGAAATTTTCATTGACTTACTTTATAACAAAATTTTGATATATTCTCTGTCTGTTGCAATGGAGAATGACAAGACATCTGAAACTATATACTATTGAAACACTGTTGGGTAATTATATTATTGGGGAGAAAATATAAAAATTGCATCTTAAACTGCTTTAATCAAATTCAATTTAAGTAATAGGTAGCATTCAGAAAGAAAGATATTTTTGGTGTTCTTCACTTCCCAACAAATTTAGTCAGTTTTTCAAATATTTTAATAAGCACTAAAAAAAACAAAATTAATAAATTATTAAATGATTGTTTTCAGATTAAATACTTCAAGACTGTCATGACTTTAATATGAACATCATCACACTGTAAATATTATAAACTTATTACAATATTTTATCATGATGCAATACATTTAAACATTTTTATATTTTTAACTTTTTAACTGATATTTATTATGTAAATATATAACTTTTAGCATAAAGAAATAAGTTTTTCAACTCATTAATATATAAGATAAGTTCATTGTAAGAAATATATGTAATTTTAGTGCACTTAGATTTTAATTCTTATTAAAAAAAATTTATTTATAAAATACATAGCTTAGAAAAAAGTGTCATGAAATTTTTCGACATGTGTTACACCACTATTTATACACAGGCTGTTTTTTTTCAACCTTCAATGGTCCATAAAGCAAAGACAAGTGTAAATAACAAAATGAATTTATTACCAAAAGTTAGGTACAAACATGATTACTTTTTGACATAATCACCGTGAAGATTGAGGTATTTTTCATATCTGTGGATGAGCTTTTTCATCCCCTCTTCACAGAATGTTACCACCAGTGACTTGAAATGGGCCTTAACATTGTTTTGAAGATTGTCATTAGTCTCAAATCTCTGCCCTCCTGGCCACATTTTCAGTTCAGGAAAGAGGTGGAAGTCACTCTGTGCTAAATCGGGGCTATATGCTGAGTGTTTAAAAAGTTCCAAGTTGAGTGGAACTCTTCACACATTAAAGGTGTGAAGACTTCCACCTATTTCCTGAACTGAAAACATGACTAATGATGATCTTCAAAACAACATTAAAATCCATCTCAAGTCACTGATAGTAACATTCTATGGAGAGGGGATTTCAAAACTCGTCCGCAGATATGACAAATGCCCCAATCTTCATGGTGATTATGTCGAAAAGTAATAATATTTGTACCTAACTTTTGGTAATAAATTCATTTTGTTATTTACACTTGTCTTTGTTTTATAGACCATTGGAGGTTGGAAAAAAACTGCACTCGTAAATACCTGACATACATACTATAGGCTACACAGCCTTATCATATCCATTTACCTATAGGTCATTGCTGGAGACCATCCCAAATCCTGGTAATTAAGGGCACACTGCTGCCATTATTCTGCCTCGCTGTTTGCCGTGACCTGTGGGTTATTTTGAAATAATTGGATGATAGAACTGTAGCTTAGTGTAGAGCCTTTCCTCTTAAATGGAAAGACTGAGCACATAGAATTTTGATTTTTTTAACTGACAACTCAATCACTAGCTTCATGTGTAAAGATAAAAGTGCAGCAGGACATTTATAGATATGCTATATACATGAAAAATAAAAAAAAAACAAACAGTGGCACTAGGAATCAATGAATTACAAAATTTTTATGAATAGTCTGTTCACTTTGTCCTGTTATTCCCAATACAGAGAATTGATTCTTGATGCTGCCATAGGTGACCCAATGAATTGCCATGAAATTTTTGAACAAGTGAGCAAAGCCCTTCTTAATGTAAGATAATAGCAATTACAGTATTCAATTATTTTATTGATAATATATAATAGCAATTACATAAAAAATTTAAAGAAAATCTGCATTTTTATTGTTTAGAAAACTAATATTTGTATTCTGTAAAAATATAGTTATAATTTATTGCATTTTGTGATTTATCACTAAAATGGTCAGTCATATTCTTTAAATATAAAACTAATGATGCTAATCTATATTCATTATTATTAAATTAATCAATAAGGAAAATTTCATTATTTTGAAAATACAATGTGAAATGTAAAAAAATATATTGAAACAGTATTTTTGATTAATTTTCTAGAAGTATTATTTCAAAAGTTACATAATAGTCATTTGACAGTAGAATCTGCTTATTGTTATCAGTTATGCGAATTCCAATAATCTATATGTTTGAAAATGTTTAATGTTAAGATATTAAGATACACTTATAAAACTTACTGTAATCAGAGTTTTAATGATGATTCATTAAATGATCTTCAGAAAAATAGTGCAAGATCATTCTGGCTGAGAGACGTTTCTTTGATCAGTCATTGTTTGTGAAGTCTTAATCAGTGCTTTAAACATCATTAATATATTACTAAATATTATTCATAAACAACTAAAAAAACAGCCAGCAAATATTACTATATGAATTATTATTACTAAATAAATCTTAAAGGTGTGTTGTTTTAATGTCAAAGTTAGCAAAAGACTATAATCAGTGGAAATTCTAGTTAACATTTAGCTGGGCGAGTCTTTGTAGTAAAATGAACTTATTATAATCTAAGTTTACTTGCAGAATTCAAATTTAATTATTATAATTTATATATAAAATTAATTTAGATTGCTTTTCTAAAGTTTTATTTATTTATTTATTTTAGTTTATACAATTGTTAATGCTGCTCCAATATGTCCTGAACCTTATGACAGTGTTTATCCTCTATGCGATATTCTGTGTGTGAATGAAGTTGAAGTAAGATAATGGACTCTGCCATAATTTTTAAATAATAAAATTAATATCATAATGAGATAACAGTTTATACTGTAATTTCATAATTATGAGAATTTTATTTAAATTTAATAACTGTACTTAATTTGTAATAAGATATCTTCATTAATTAGTTTTTATTTTTTCTTCAAATCTTAATTTTACTTAAAATTTATTATTTAGGTAGAAGCAATAACAAATTTGAAAGTAATTACAATTGAATCAGCATATAATGCTTGCACAGTTTTATTGAATAAAGGATGCAATGTAGTTATCATAACTTTAGGAGCTAAAGGAGCAGTGTTTTGTACAAAGGATAACCCAAAACCTAAACATGTTCCTGCAAAAAAAGTAGATGCTGTAGATACTACTGTAAGTATTGGTATTTCTTTTCTGAGCCATAAAATAAGAGATTTTGCAGCAAATTTATATTTTATTTACTTTGTATTTTTCAGGGTGCTGGTGATGCATTTTTAGGAAGTTTAACATATTACATTGCTTTACATCCTAATCTCTCTCTGGAAGAAAAGATTTCACGTTCTTGTGAAATAGCTTCCGTAAGTGTTTTATCTAGTGGCACACAGAAAAGTTTTCCATATAGAAAAGAATTAGAAGAAAGATTGTTTGTTTGAATATGTATATTCTATGATTTAATTTCCTTCATATTGGGTAATATAATGCATTTATTAAGGAAACTTCAATCCAATGTAATTGGATTCATATGTTATTGTAAAACCAAGTTAAAGTACTTCGTAAAAATAAAAAATTTTATAACTATGTTAATATAATTTAAATTTTACTGGGTCTTTTCTAATTTTATTTATATCATAAAAGAAATTAATTTAATTCCTTGATAAGTCAAAAGAATTATTGATAGAAATGGTGTTTGATGAACCAAATCAGTTTAATTTTTTTGCATCAAAAAAATCCTAGTAAGATTATTGAATTTATAACCAGCAAACTATTTGCTGTTTGATGTAATCGTTAATCAACTTTTTAATTATGGATTTAGATATAACAATTATGATATAAAAAACAAAAATTTTCTTAATATTTTTAATTATCAATTAATGAAAAATAAAACATTAATTTGACTGTGTAATCTTAATATTAAGTGATTTAGTCACTGTTAATGAAAAATCAGTCACTGCCAGTTACCATTTTCTGAAATCACTTGCATCCCTTAATTAACCCCCCTTATAGCAGCAACTGTTCTTAATAACTGCAAGTAACTCATGGGATATTTGGAGATTATGGGGTCACCAGTGATTCCAGAAACTGGTAATAGACAGTGACAATAATTTCTCACTAATAGTAACTAAATCACTGGTAATGATATATCACTCGATACTACTGTTAACATTTTTGATGCTTAATATAGTAAGTAAGCATTCTGTCTAAATATTCTAATTCTTTTTTCTGTTTCACTTATTTAAAAATTACATCTACAATGAATTGCTAATAGAAAGAAAATGAAAGAAACGGAAAAAAAAGGAATGATTGAGACAATATCTTCTAAACTGCATAAGAGTTAATTGATATGCTTTCAAATAAAACTCTAAAGAGGGAAGATTTAGGGTAGTGTGAATTATGCAACAGTTTATTTTTGTTCTAACCACTCGACAGTGAGGGATGGATATATCTTTAAATTCTTTTGGGGTATTGCCAAAAAAAATTCACATAAAAAATGAGTTATGTAACAATAAAAAAAGACTTTTTGTAAAGAGTTATGTTTAGTAATGAGAAAAAACGCGTGGAAAAATACTTTAAAAATTTCCCATGTTTATTCTCCACTACTTTGGATAGAACTCTATCCCACTGTTGAAAGGTTAAGAATTTTCTATGGGGTATACACAGGAGATTACTGTAATTAATAATAATAAAAATACAGTATGTTACTAAAGGCAAGCATACTATTAACAAGACTTTCAAAATATAATTAATTCAAATCTCAAAAATTTTTTAATAAAGTTGAAAAAAAACATAAAATGAGATTTAGCTAACAATTCCCACATGCACAAGATAGACAGATTAAATAGCCAAATTTATATATAGAAAACTTATAAAGAACATGTAAAATTGTTGGATATTTATATTTCCATTATATAATCATCACTTTCATATTATAAATTTATTTTTAAAAAATTTATAAAAGTAACTTTGCTCTAAAGTGTAATAAATTAGAAAAAGCCCATATCATTTGATATTAAAAATAAAAGGCTAAAATATATCTAACAAATATTTTAATTATAATAATAATTGAATTTTCTAACAATTACTAGGCCTACTTATTTATCAATAGGTATGTTTTATCATCATTTCTTCCTGAATCAATATCAGATTCTTCTGAACAGTTTTTATCTTCATCATCACATACTATTGATGGTTCATAAGACCATATATTATCAGTGATGCAACATTTTTTAAATGAATGCTGTACTATTCTTTCTGGGATTATTTTCCAAGTTGATGACACCCATTCTGCCAATTTTGATGTCTACATTTTTCTTAACTTTTCCATGATGTCAGTTGATGATTATCAGGTGTGAGTCTACTTCATACACAATGCTTTGACATCAATGTAGATTCTTGGTCCCAGACTCCCTCTTGTTCTGAATCAGACTCCCACATGTATGTTGTACTGATTCTGACACTTTACTTTGAATTTTCCCCATGTTTCCCAAATATGAAGTGTGCAATTCTAAGATGGCATCATTTCCAAGATGCACTCCATTTTTTAAGTGATGATTTGGGATAAAAGTGTCTTAGAATCAAAGATATACAGTGAATGAAAATGTTTTAAAAGTTAAAAAATTTTTGACACTAAACTCTTGTGAATATCAAGTACATGTATTATTTTTCAAAATATTTTTCTTATTAATATATTGTGTCAAAAATATTTGAGATATTTAGCTTTTACTTCCTCAAAATGAAAACCATATTTTTGTTTTTAAATATATAATAAACATTATTATGTTGGGTTTGGTGAGTTATACTTGGTTGACACCAGTTGCTATGTATTATGCCAGACCAGAGTCAAGGGATACCAACCAAAACAAAACAAAAGATAAATAAGTGTGTCAGTGTGTATTTAGGAATTTCCTAACAATATGGCATGTATTCAATATAGTGGCCTTTTGTAGTGTGATGTATGTATTTCTACTCAATTGTAATGTTCCCAGGGTTTTATATATTGTGTGTGTATGACACATGTAGAGGAGAGGGCAACAGTACAATAACTATCTCCATCCTTCACAAATGCCTTATTTCCTGGGCAAGTTCTGTGTACTTGCTGATTTTTTCAGTATGTGTTTTTTGTACATTGTGAGTATTTGAAATGAATATGATGTTTGGTCTGTTATGATAAATTGCTTATCTGTGATTATGGCTCTGTCATAATAAATTTTGTGTGTGTTGTTTTCCAATACTGTCTATGAAATGCATTTGTAGTATGATTCATGATTGTCTAATAATTTGTGTTTGTTTGCAAGCTCTTGGTGTATTATATTTGCTACTTGATTATGTCTGTGTAAATAATCTGTCTGTGCCAAGAGCTTGCAACCAGAAGTGATGTGTTTTTAGTTTCTGGCATGATGTGACATTTTCTCCATTTGTCATTTGTGAGCATTGTATCTTTGAGTATGTATTTTCTGTAGTTTTTAGTATTTATGACCTGATCCTGTATGGCAATCATGAACCCTTCTGTCTCCCCAAAGAGGCATCCCCGAGCTAACCAGCTATTTGATGGATGTAGGGATGTCTGCCATGGAGTGCCTTTTGAGCCCATGATTGCTTAATGGTGTCTATGCTTTTTATATATTGTGTCGTGTCCATATGATATGAGTGTAAGTTTAATGGTGTGTTATTTGAGTCTGCTAGAGTTACTGCTTTATGTAACTGTGATGTTTCTTGTTTTTGTAAAAAAACTCTCGAAGTGACTGTATTTGTTTGTAGTTTAGGTTTACTATGCTGATCAGTCCACGTCCTCCATCTTTATGTGGTAGGGTTAATCTTTCTATGGCTGATTTAGGATGATGATGTTTATGCTTATTAAGTGTTGTTTTCCTTTGGAGTTGCTCGAGATCTGTGTGAGTCCAATATATAACTCCAAAAGACTAAGTGAGTACTGGGACGACAAATGTGTTTATTGCTTTAACTGTGTCTTTTGCATTTAACTGTGTTCTGAGAATAGTGTTTAACCTACTTTGGTATTCTTTAATTAATCTTTTCTTTATTTGCATATGTTCTGTTAGTTTGGCCTGTTGTAATCCTAAATACTTGTAGAACTCACCCTCTTCCATGAATTCAATAACATCTCCAAATGGAGTCTTGAAGTGCAAAATCTTTCTTCAAGACTCCTTTTTCTATGTAAAGTGTTTTGCACTTGTCTAGGCCAAATTCCATTTATATGTCCTTGATATTTGAATGTGTGTTATGTAGGAGTTGATGAAGTTCTTTTTGTGTGGATGCATAAAGTCCATGTACATGAGATGTGACAATGTAAACTGTGTTGTTTTTTTCATGTCTGATATTGTAACCATGTTGTGTGTTGTTTAACATGTTGGATTTATTATTATTATGTTGGGTTTAGTGGGTTACTCGGTTCACACCAGTGGCTGTGTACTATGTCGGACTAGAATCAAGGCATAGCAACCAAAAACAAAAATTAAATAATTGTGTCAGTGTCTGTATTCAGGAATTTCCTAACAATGTAGCATGTATTCAATATATTATTATTATTATTGGGTAGAGCTTACCTAAGCTCTAGGATCAAGGAAGGAAGAGAGTAGGAGATGAAAAAAAGATTTAAATGGTGAAACAAACTATATATAATAATGTATTTTCAAGTACATTCATTATTTGTATTTGAAATAGGGATATACATGTAAGACAAATATTTTAGTGCATATGTGCTAAAGTATGGTATATAAAATTAGTTTTGTTATACTGAATTTCTAACTTAAAAACTAAATGAAATAAAAGCAGTAAATAATAAATGTATCAAAGAACCTGAAGCCCTATATATATATGTATGTGTATATATATATATACATAACCAAACGATTGCCTTAAATAATCAGGCTATAATCATTAAATAGTGGCTTTATAGCCCGATTATTTAAGGCAATCATTTGGTTATGTGTAAATAATAAATATTCAATGTGTTTTTATCTTTATTTTTGGCACAAAATAATATTACAAATTTGTTGGGAATTAAAATCATATGTTTTGTTACATTACATCATTATCATCTTGTGTAAAAAACTAATTTTAAGTTTTTTAAAAATAGTTTTTATGAAACAAATTTTTGATGTACTCTGAAAATAATATCAATTTTAATCAGAACATAGTAATTTTTGTGATAATGAAAATTAATTATTAATATAGTTTAAAAAAAACTTAAATTTATTATATAAAATTCAATGAATTGTTTAAAATCTAAGTTTAAATTAACTGCATTAATAAGAAACAAAAGTTGAAAAGAATGTTGAAAAGAAAAAAGTTAAAAGTTCACTCTAATATAAAATATTTACAAACCTAAATATCTTTATAAATTTTTATATAAGTTACCAAAAGAACATAAACTGAAATGTTTTCTACCTTTAAAGATGTTTTATATAATGATCTGTTCAATACACCAGCAAAAATGTGACCTTTCTGATCTCCCTCTCCCCCCTTATCACAAGTTATCAAAAATAAAAAGTATCTCCCCTCTATGTCATCAGGCCAGAAGTTTAAACTATTTGCAAATACACAGAAATTATTTTCGGATAATTTTGTGATGACCCTTCCGCCAACATCAACAACCATCAGATATAAAGAAATCTTCCTCTCCATAAACTACTGATGTAATAATTTAATGATCTCTAATATATTTCATTTTAATAAAAAAAATGACAATGATTGAATATTGATTTCATATTTTTTTTTAAATTAAAAACGTTGATTAAATTTGACTACATTTTTGCTTTACAAAGGCAAAAGGCAAATTTTCTAATAATAAAATTATGAGTTGGATGATATAAATCATTTATTTTGATCATATTTTGTAAACTTATCATCTTTACTATACAGTATAAATAGCTGTAATAAATTTTCTTAGCCTGATGAGTTCCAGTATAATGAATTATAATACAACAAATGCAAAATAGTGAATATGTTAACATTCTACTTAAGGATAAACAGGAGAAAAATATTAATGCAGACAGAATATTTTTTTCTTATTAAAAGCTATTGGATTTACATTCTTTGTTGTTAAGCAATATTTCTTACATTTAAAGTAATGCCAATTTATGTTATCAATATTAGTATCATCATTTAGCCTGTTAGGTTTGCTTGTCAAAATCTAATTTTAATACAATGGATTGGTGAAAAGTAACTATGCATTGAAAAATGGCTATAAGTTCTATATTTTTAATGCAAAGATGATGAAAATAATGTAATATGTACCTTATTAAATGGAAATATGGATAGCTTAAAATTCGACATAGGCACTGGTGCCATCCATCAATCACACATTTTCCTCAGATTGTGATGTGAATGGCCAGTCACTTCTCTGTGTAGCTGCAACTGAACCTATGGTCATTTTAGCTTCAAGTGACAATTCTTGAATGTTTCTGGATGGATTGTGGCATGATGTCCCTTCACTGCACACCAACCACTGATTTCCAGCTCATAGCATGCAGCAATCTGTGCTTGTTGCTGAACAGACAAGCAATCAGCTGTTTTTGCCACCGTGTGTGTGTGGGCCTCTCTTGGTTATTGCTCACATCATCAATGTGGGAATTATAAAATTCCTTTGATTGATGTACATGCACACAAATTTTATTATGATTGCATTTTTATTACAAAAATTATAGCAATTTTTCAATGCATAGTTACTTTCCAACCACCAAGTAGACTTACTTATTGTTTGTAAAAACAATTATATTTTTGCATATACAGGTAACCCCCGTATAACACGGCACTTCTATAGCACGGATTCGCTCTAACACGGTTTGAGAATTGGTACCATCCCCCGTATAACACGGCACTTCTATAGCACGGATTCGCTCTAACACGGTTTGAGAATTGGTACCATCCCCCGTATAACACGGTACTTTTATAGCACGGATTCACTCTGACACAGTTCGAGAATTGGGTAAAACCCTCGTACAACAGGAAATGTAATAAATTTTTACATNTTGATATATGAACAAAAAAATTATATAAATTTAAAGTAACAATGATATTTAAAACCCATTATATAAAATAAATCAATCAATCTTTATTATTTTATATAATGGGTTTATATAATGGGTTATAAAACAATCAATCAATCAATCTTTATGATTGTTTTACATGGGGATTATTCAACATGTACAGTGGTAAAATGAAACTTCACATAAATTTGGCTAGACACATTTACCCATCCACAAAAACACAAATCTGTAATGTCAATCTCACAATAATCATCATCATACAGTATTTATAATATTATATTATTACACTGTTAGACCTGTACATTTACTTAATTTATACTGTAATAAAGTAATAATTTTGTTCATAATAATAAAATGTATGATTTGAAATATATATTTTTCAAGGTGAAAACAGTATTATCTACGTTCCTGGTGCAGTCAATTGTCTTAGTAAAGAAGATATTTATAATGCTGAAAAAGTTATTGCACAAACAAAAGTTCTGTTATGTTGTAATGAATGCCAATTAGATGTATTATTAGAAGCTCTAAAGGTTGCTCAAAAACATAAAGGTAACTTAAAATTATTTCACTGAATAGATAGATATACAGTAAAACTTCTAATCTCAAATTCCTCAAGTTGAACTGGATTGTCAGACATGGTGAACATCCTACATAATATAAAAATACATTATATTATGTAGGGTGTTCCAAAAATTAAACAGAATTTTATATATCTCAATACTGTCCCTCCTTAAATTGAACTCAGCATATCCTAACCAGCCTATTAAGTTCCCCAAATCCTTTTGGCATGTTGCCTGGTAAAGTGCCCTTTGTTCATGAGCACATTGCAAGTTTAGTGGAAAACCCACTGGATCTAGTAGGAATGTGAAATTTTAATTTTTCAATAAATTCAGTGTAACTTAGAGAAGTAGATTTAGGTATATCACAAAATTACAATATTGTGCTGCAATTTGAAAAAATGTAGACCTATAAATTCCCACTGTCTGTCTGCTTTTAATCCCAAGAACGGGACACTATATGAGGCTGTTGTAGTTAATGGATTATTAAATAATGTTAGATAGATGAAAGTTGAGACCAGATATGGAAAGCTTAGGGGCAAGAGACCCCAATTAACTATATACAAATTTCCAATTTGGATCAGAAGTCATGTTGAAAAATTTTTCTGAATGGAGTTTTATAGTAATACAATTGTGCTGGTCATCTAACAGGAAAAGTATGATTTATAGGGGCAAGAAACTACTAATTTGAGGTAGAGAGCATATATTTTAAATTAAATAAAAATATGATTAAAAATTTTAGCCTAGCATTGTGATAATTTAACAATAAATAATTGCTCATTTAAGTCATTTTTACAGCCTCATATATTGTTCTAATGGGCTCAAAGACATCATATATCATACAAAGTACAAAAGATTTAATTCTATCTCTGTACCTAGAACTCTCCAAAATGTAAACTGGCCATTTTTTGGTTTCTTCAAATTTGAGATTTACAAGTTTTACTGCTTATTGTAAAAGATTATTATTTAGTTTCAAATCACCTTAAAATTTTTTGTATTTAAATTAGATAAAAGTCTATAAAAATAGTAATAAGTTAAGTTTATTTTCAACCAATGTCAAATTTTCTATAAACACAGACAATTCGTAAATCAGTGAGTATGAATAAAAAAAATTTAGTAGTAGTAGTAGTAGTAGTAGTAGTAGTAGTAGTAGTAATTTATTGTAAACCACAATAAATTATTGGAAATTTTCATTGACTTACTTTATAACAAAATTTTGATATATTCTCTGTCTGTTGCAATGGAGAATGACAAGACATCTGAAACTATATACTATTGAAACACTGTTGGGTAATTATATTATTGGGGAGAAAATATAAAAATTGCATCTTAAACTGCTTTAATCAAATTCAATTTAAGTAATAGGTAGCATTCAGAAAGAAAGATATTTTTGGTGTTCTTCACTTCCCAACAAATTTAGTCAGTTTTTCAAATATTTTAATAAGCACTAAAAAAAACAAAATTAATAAATTATTAAATGATTGTTTTCAGATTAAATACTTCAAGACTGTCATGACTTTAATATGAACATCATCACACTGTAAATATTATAAACTTATTACAATATTTTATCATGATGCAATACATTTAAACATTTTTATATTTTTAACTTTTTAACTGATATTTATTATGTAAATATATAACTTTTAGCATAAAGAAATAAGTTTTTCAACTCATTAATATATAAGATAAGTTCATTGTAAGAAATATATGTAATTTTAGTGCACTTAGATTTTAATTCTTATTAAAAAAAATTTATTTATAAAATACATAGCTTAGAAAAAAGTGTCATGAAATTTTTCGACATGTGTTACACCACTATTTATACACAGGCTGTTTTTTTTCAACCTTCAATGGTCCATAAAGCAAAGACAAGTGTAAATAACAAAATGAATTTATTACCAAAAGTTAGGTACAAACATGATTACTTTTTGACATAATCACCGTGAAGATTGAGGTATTTTTCATATCTGTGGATGAGCTTTTTCATCCCCTCTTCACAGAATGTTACCACCAGTGACTTGAAATGGGCCTTAACATTGTTTTGAAGATTGTCATTAGTCTCAAATCTCTGCCCTCCTGGCCACATTTTCAGTTCAGGAAAGAGGTGGAAGTCACTCTGTGCTAAATCGGGGCTATATGCTGAGTGTTTAAAAAGTTCCAAGTTGAGTGGAACTCTTCACACATTAAAGGTGTGAAGACTTCCACCTATTTCCTGAACTGAAAACATGACTAATGATGATCTTCAAAACAACATTAAAATCCATCTCAAGTCACTGATAGTAACATTCTATGGAGAGGGGATTTCAAAACTCGTCCGCAGATATGACAAATGCCCCAATCTTCATGGTGATTATGTCGAAAAGTAATAATATTTGTACCTAACTTTTGGTAATAAATTCATTTTGTTATTTACACTTGTCTTTGTTTTATAGACCATTGGATGTTGGAAAAAAACTGCACTCGTAAATACCTGACATACATACTATAGGCTACACAGCCTTATCATATCCATTTACCTATAGGTCATTGCTGGAGACCATCCCAAATCCTGGTAATTAAGGGCACACTGCTGCCATTATTCTGCCTCGCTGTTTGCCGTGACCTGTGGGTTATTTTGAAATAATTGGATGATAGAACTGTAGCTTAGTGTAGAGCCTTTCCTCTTAAATGGAAAGACTGAGCACATAGAATTTTGATTTTTTTAACTGACAACTCAATCACTAGCTTCATGTGTAAAGATAAAAGTGCAGCAGGACATTTATAGATATGCTATATACATGAAAAATAAAAAAAAAACAAACAGTGGCACTAGGAATCAATGAATTACAAAATTTTTATGAATAGTCTGTTCACTTTGTCCTGTTATTCCCAATACAGAGAATTGATTCCTGATGCTGCCATAGGTGACCCAATGAATTGCCATGAAATTTTTGAACAAGTGAGCAAAGCCCTTCTTAATGTAAGATAATAGCAATTACAGTATTCAATTATTTTATTGATAATATATAATAGCAATTACATAAAAAATTTAAAGAAAATCTGCATTTTTATTGTTTAGAAAACTAATATTTGTATTCTGTAAAAATATAGTTATAATTTATTGCATTTTGTGATTTATCACTAAAATGGTCAGTCATATTCTTTAAATATAAAACTAATGATGCTAATCTATATTCATTATTATTAAATTAATCAATAAGGAAAATTTCATTATTTTGAAAATACAATGTGAAATGTAAAAAAATATATTGAAACAGTATTTTTGATTAATTTTCTAGAAGTATTATTTCAAAATTTACATAATAGTCATTTGACAGTAGAATCTGCTTATTGTTATCAGTTATGCGAATTCCAATAATCTATATGTTTGAAAATGTTTAATGTTAAGATATTAAGATACACTTATAAAACTTACTGTAATCAGAGTTTTAATGATGATTCATTAAATGATCTTCAGAAAAATAGTGCAAGATCATTCTGGCTGAGAGACGTTTCTTTGATCAGTCATTGTTTGTGAAGTCTTAATCAGTGCTTTAAACATCATTAATATATTACTAAATATTATTCATAAACAACTAAAAAACAGCCAGCAAATATTACTATATGAATTATTATTACTAAATAAATCTTAAAGGTGTGTTGTTTTAATGTCAAAGTTAGCAAAAGACTATAATCAGTGGAAATTCTAGTTAACATTTAGCTGGGCGAGTCTTTGTAGTAAAATGAACTTATTATAATCTAAGTTTACTTGCAGAATTCAAATTTAATTATTATAATTTATATATAAAATTAATTTAGATTGCTTTTCTAAAGTTTTATTTATTTATTTATTTTAGTTTATACAATTGTTAATGCTGCTCCAATATGTCCTGAACCTTATGACAGTGTTTATCCTCTATGCGATATTCTGTGTGTGAATGAAGTTGAAGTAAGATAATGGACTCTGCCATAATTTTTAAATAATAAAATTAATATCATAATGAGATAACAGTTTATACTGTAATTTCATAATTATGAGAATTTTATTTAAATTTAATAACTGTACTTAATTTGTAATAAGATATCTTCATTAATTAGTTTTTATTTTTTCTTCAAATCTTAATTTTACTTAAAATTTATTATTTAGGTAGAAGCAATAACAAATTTGAAAGTAATTACAATTGAATCAGCATATAATGCTTGCACAGTTTTATTGAATAAAGGATGCAATGTAGTTATCATAACTTTAGGAGCTAAAGGAGCAGTGTTTTGTACAAAGGATAACCCAAAACCTAAACATGTTCCTGCAAAAAAAGTAGATGCTGTAGATACTACTGTAAGTATTGGTATTTCTTTTCTGAGCCATAAAATAAGAGATTTTGCAGCAAATTTATATTTTATTTACTTTGTATTTTTCAGGGTGCTGGTGATGCATTTTTAGGAAGTTTAACATATTACATTGCTTTACATCCTAATCTCTCTCTGGAAGAAAAGATTTCACGTTCTTGTGAAATAGCTTCCGTAAGTGTTTTATCTAGTGGCACACAGAAAAGTTTTCCATATAGAAAAGAATTAGAAGAAAGATTGTTTGTTTGAATATGTATATTCTATGATTTAATTTCCTTCATATTGGGTAATATAATGCATTTATTAAGGAAACTTCAATCCAATGTAATTGGATTCATATGTTATTGTAAAACCAAGTTAAAGTACTTCGTAAAAATAAAAAATTTTATAACTGATTGATATTAAAATTAATTTTCAGACCATTCTTAGAAGCAATATTTAATGCTCTTGAATGTCCTGAAAACGATCATGCAGCATTATTTGGATTATGTTTATTTTATGCTTTAGGTCATAATTCAGGTAAGAAGTTTATGTCAAATCTTATAAAATTGTGATTTTATTCAGAAATTTAATGAACTTCTTAAGATTTAAATTATTATTTAGATAAAATTTAGTTAAACATAATCTTTTGGGTGAATATGTAATGTTTGAAATGTTAGTTTTAATGACAGTATTAGTATTATTTGTGCATAATTTTTATAACTACTCAATTTGATTTTTTCAATAACAACAATTATTTTTTTTAACTTATCTTTCTTTATGGAATACAAAGTTGGTAAGTATACTGTTTTCAATTAGTATAAGAATTTAAAATACAGTAGATCCCCCTATAAAAGCGTTTCCTATAGTTATGATTCCTATAAAAATTGTGGCATTATCCGTAAACAACGGTAAAAATAACTCCTATAATACGTAAAACGTCATCGGGCAGCCGAACTACTTACCCGCCGTCCGTAGCGCCACGCTACGGAGAGATTTCTATCGTCTGGACAGTATTATATAAATTATATATAAATTAGGTACTGTACATATAATTATATATTAATTATATATAAATTAGGTACTGTATATATAATTATATATTAACTTAATTTATTGTAACTTTATTATAATTAAATATATATTTTTCGCCGTCTAGCGTCACGCTACGGCGAGTTAGGCGACCTATCGTCTGTTTAGTACTGTAATTTTATACATTTCTTGTGAAAGAAACATTTCTTATTTAACGGCCATAAAAATTATTTATATTAATGATGTCTCCAAAGGTCAACGAAGTTTTCGCAGAAAAATAATATCAGAAATCGCGGC